AGAAAAGAAATGAAAAGAGAACAAGTGCATCAAGAGATAAGAAAAAGGAATAGGGAGATAATGGAAGAAACGAGAAGAATAAAAATGGAAAATAAACGAAAGACGAGAAAAAGAACAAAGACAAACGATAATAATAACGATAATAATAATGAAAACAAATAAATGCAATAAAATCAATACAAACCTATAGAAAGAGGAACTATGCGATAAAAAAGACAGATAAAAAAACAGGATAACAAGTAGTAACAAAGAGAAAGGAGAAAACAAACAAAGCAGTTAACCAAACAGTGCGAGATCCATACGAAAAGACCCCCGCCTGGATGCACAGTTGGGCGACTTTCCCCGCACATTGGTAGAGTTCCATGCCGCGCTTATCATTGATCTGTTTGTGTATTTTTTTTCTTTTTTTTAATGGGGGAGGGGGGTTCCTTCTTCTTACTGGTCATTCATTCGTTTCTTTTGGTTTGTATGTCCTCTTTTCATTCAATCTCTCCATCCGTTCGTCCGTCCCTCTCTTACTTTCTCTCTCTCTCTCTCTTTCTATCCCTTTCTTTCTTTCTCTCTCTCTCTCACTCTCTTTCTCTTTCTTTCTCTGTCTCTCTCTCTGTCTATCTGTCTGTCTGTCTCTCTCTCTTTCTATCTATCTATCTATTTATTTATCATCTGCTTTTCTAACTTTCTTTTACACCTATTTATTTACTTTTCTAACTTTCTTCTACATCTCTTTATCTATCACCTGCTTTTCTAACTTTCTTCTACCTCTGTCCATCTTCTCTCCAAATTCTGATCTAATCTTTCTGTCATTAACTTTACGCGTTCCTTGCGTCTTCCCACTTTCACTTTCGGTTGCCTCCTCTGGTCGCTTCTGTCTGCGATGGCTGTTCCAGTTGCGTGGACTTACCCTGGTTTGTTTGCTTTTCTTTCTTGCTTTCTCGCTGTCTCTGTCTGTCTCTGGTTTTGTTTCTGTCTCTCTCTCTCTCTCTCTTTCTTTCTTTCTCTCTCTCGCTCTCTCTGTCTCTTTCTCTTTCTTTCTCCTTCTCTCTCTCTCTCCCTTTTCTTTCTTTCTCCTTCTCTCGGTCTCTCCCTCTCTTTCTTCCTCCTTCTCTCTCTCTCTCCCCCTCTCTCTCATCTCTTTCCGAATCTTGATTTGTCTCTGTTATTCTGCCTGCCTGTTTTTTCTCCCTTCTTCCCCTCTCTCCTCCCTCTACCTCTGACTTTCCTTTTTCCTTCTCATTTTTCCTTCGTCTCAGATTCTGCTTATTTTTCTGTCTGTCCGTCTCTCTCTCTCTCTCTCTCTCTCTCTCTCTCTCTCTCTCTCTCTCTCTCTCTCTCTCTCTCTCTTCTCTCTCTCTCTCTCTCTCTATCTATCTTATCTCTCTCTATATATATCTCTCTCTATCTTTCCCTCACTCTAATTGTTCTTGCTATTACTTAAAAAAATGCTATGGGTAGAGTAAGAAATATAAATAAGGAAATATGAAATATGAAATTAAAAAGTACGAACAAAAACGGAAATATAAGGCGAAAGAGAGAGAGAGAGAGAGAGAGAGAGAGAGAGAGAGAGAGAGAGAGAGAGAGAGAGAGAGAGAGAGAGAGAGAGAGAGAGAGAGAGAGACAGAGAGAGAGAGAGACAGACAGACAGAGAGAGAGAGAAGAATGAAAAGAAGAGGAAAAAGAAGAAAAACAGCTTCGAGCGTATCTTAGCGAAAGTGGCGCTGGGTCAAAGATTATTTACCTTGGCAGAAATACTTTAACCTGACCCTCTTCAACACCTGACTTGGGACGAGCTAACGGTACCGATCTGAGAAACAGCGAGAGAGTTACGCGGTGAATGAAGACAGCATTTGGGGGATTTTCCCTCTCTCTCTCTCTCTCTTCTTCTTCCTCTCTCTCTCTCTCTCTCTCTCTCTCTCTCTCTCTCTCTTCTTCCTCTCTCCTTTATCTCTCTTTCTCTTTCTCTCTCTGTCTCTATCTTTCTCTCTCTCTCTCTCTCTCTCTCTCTCTCTCTCTCTCTCTCTCTCTCTCTCTCTCTCTCTCTCTCTCTCTCTCTCTCTCTCTCTCTTTCTATTCTCTCTCTCTCTCTTCTCTCTGTCTGCTTTATCTCTCTTTCTCTTTCTCTCTCTGTCTCTATCTTTCTCTCTCTCTCTCTTCTCTCTCTCTCTCTCTCTCTCTTCTCTCTCTCTCTCTCTCTCTCTCTTCTCTCTCTTCTCTCTCTCTCTCTCGTCTTTCTATTCTCTCATCTCTCTCTCTCTCTCTGTCCTCCTTTATCTCTCTTTCTCTTTCTCTCTCTCTGTCTCTTCTTCTCTCTCCCTCTCTCCTCTCTCTCTCTCTCTCTCCTCTCTCTCTCTCTCTCTCTCTCTCTCTCTCTCTCCTCTCTCTCTCTCTCTCTCTCTCTCTCTCTCTCTCTCTCTCTCTCTCACACACACACACACACGTTTTCCTTTTCTTCCATTCTCCTCTCACTCTCTCTCTCTTTTCGTCATTTTTTTCCTTTTTTCTT